GTCTTTTAAGTAAAATAGGTCAAAAACAATTTCGTCTTCAAATTTTAATTTCGGGTTTTTGAACCCGAAATAATTTCATCGGCATGTATAGTAGTATGTAGTATTTATTTAATAATATAGTATAGTAATAATACACAAATCTATATCGATCTTATAATCCTGTAATTGAAATTTTATAATTTTGGGCTTGCTAGAATCCTCTCCTTGAGAGGATCATTCTGGTAGTTAAATCATCCAAATTAGACCAGTAGATCAAAAGTTATTAACTAATAAAAATTTCATATATAGTATATAGTATATAAATAATATGTTGCATTAGCCAATTAGAATAAAGGATATATAATAACCTGACTAAGCAAGAGACCCCCCCAGAAAATCAGCTGATTTCTGGCGGCTCTCTTATTACAAATGTTTGCTTTTTTCTAGAGTTCTTATTTTTTAAACAGTTCTCTTTCAATTACTAGCTAGTTTTTTAAAAAATTTTTGATGCTAAATTTTAAACACTAGTGTTAAAAATAATTGTAAAATATATAATAACATTATTTTTGGGTTAAAAAACTGAAGTTTTTTTTAACATTTTAAAGTTACAAATTGTAAAATTACACCTGTAAATTCACATTAGATTCCCACCCCATGTTTATAAAGCTCTTAAATAACTACCCTTCATAAATAAATATATCATATTTCTAAAAAAGATAAGTTTAAGAGGGTTGACTGTATAAACAATAAAAATATTATATATATATATATTTTTATAAAGCAGTTTTTATTTTCAGGTATATATCATTGTTAAAGTTTGAATTTTACTCGTAACTTGTTTATTGTCCATAGCAAAGCAGAGGAATTATTGGACGAGTAAATGATACCAGTTACGTTTTTGATGCATTAAAGTTCTTAAAATATGCAATAAAATCAAAACGCAACTCTGGAAAAGTATGTGTCAGCACATGTGACATATAATAAAATGATCATATAGTCTGAATAGTGCTACACATTGACCTAGTAAATTTGTTGAAACAGAGATAAATAAATTCCTACGCAAAATAAGATCAATTGCTATTATGATGATGATATAAATAAAAAAAGCGCTCACATTATGTTATGATATACTCTTCTTTTTCTTTTTTCCAATATCTTCACTCTTTTTACGTCTTTTAGTAATATTATCTATGAAAAAAAATAAAAGTGCATAAATAGTGTAACCAAAACTCAGTTCTAGATATTCAAATTATCAACATATACCCGCGTTTGGTTGATTGGGACTTGAAGGTTGTGCGGGTGGTTGATCCGGTGCTTGCTTAATAAATAATAATAGAATATGTAAATATTATTATGCCATAACAAAAAAAAACAATTTAAGGGGCGTGCCGTTTATTACGAATTCTTGTTATTAGTAGACCAAATCCCCTCCTCCCTAGGTGATAAAATCGGTAGCCAATCATATCATTTATATACAATATATAGACGTGATAAATTACTAATCCTCTCCCTAAAAAATTGCGTAATAAACGGCACTCCCACATAAGAGTAATAAGTCAACGAACTACTTCAGAGATAATCATATCATTTTGATTTCCAGTCGTCAGCTCTTTCATTTTCTCTTGGGACTGTGCAAAAACTTGATTCAATTGTTGAGTCATTTTAATTGTAGTAGATGTAAATGCACGTTCTACTCCATTACGAAACTCTAATAATTCAGCAGGATCTTGTTGGGCTATTCGAGATTCTTTGAATAATGCCATAAACAAATATAAACATCGTTTACATCATTTGAAGAGTATATTAAGTATGTAGATTAAACTTACTTTTATTGCTTGATGTTCCCGTATGAGAATCTCCACCTTTCCATGTATATCCGGTTGCAGGATGAAACTCAACTTGTTGGTATGCTGTATTAAATGCAATATGCAATTGATAAAGGCTTGTCAACTATTTGAAATAATTTCGGTCAGCCATTTAATAACATCAAGTATATAACCCTTAGTTTATTATCAAAAAAGTTCTTACAACGCGATTTCCGATAATCGAGTATAAACTTGGTGCTTGAAGAATATTATAATTCAAGATATAATATGTTGCAACTAAGTTAACTATGAAATTATTGGATATTAAATTAGATCTGTGAAATTAGAAGACAAAAATATTGATAAAGATCAAATAAGCGAACCTTCCCATTCACCAAGACGATTTTGCTTTCGGATAACCCACAGTGCTGGAGGCCTTTCATGCACCACTTGGAATTCAATTCCTTTCATTTTCCTATAAATTACACAGGCTTCGTTTGTATAAATTTTTTGGAAACAGCTAATATATTCATAGATATGTATTTACTTCAAAAGCATGGTGAGATCCTTTAAATCATTAAAACGCGTTTGCATTTTCAAACTAGCGTTATTGCACTGTGGATCCCAAAATGGTGACGTCTCAAAGTAACTTAGGACATTATTCGAGTTTAGCCCATCTGGTTGCTATGTTTCAGAAATGTTATGGTGAAATTACATTCCAGATAAGACAAATTTTTAAACAGGCCGACATACCGCGAGAATCCAATCAAGGTCTCTCCAGATAATAGTAGTTGGATCAGGTTCGACCATTTTCAATAATTGTACATGCCCTAGCAATCACAAGTTAACAAGGAAGCTTAACCACGTGATATTATGTAAACAAAATCAACGCTATTGGTCACTACATAACCATCCAGTTCTCACTTGTATATAAAAAGAGGAATCGTAATTTTTTACATCCATAATCGAGTAGGATCGTAATTGTTCTCAAACGAGTTAAAGATTTTGCAAAAAAAAAAAGTCGACTTTTACGGCAAACTCGAAAATTAAACAAAGGTATTATTATGATATGGGGAATTACAAAGTATTATATATTTCTAAGCATGATCGTATCGTATGTTCATATATTATAGACAATAATGAAACATCTTGCTGCCTATTTATTACTTAATCTCGCCGGAAAAACTCCTAAAGCCAAAGACATCAAAGAACTTCTTGATAGCGTTGGCATTGAGGGAGATGATGATAGGATTAAAAGTTTACTTTCTGAACTAGACGGTAAAGATATCGATGAGGTTGGTCCACTTCACATATTATCATTTATTAAATTATTTGTCTTAATTTATGTTAATTGTGCGTTATATATATAGCTGATCACTGAGGGTAGCGCTAAACTTGCATCTGTTCCTTCTGGCGGCGGCGGTGGTGCCTCAGCCGCCGCTGGGGGCGGCGGCGGTGGTGCTGCTGAAGCTGCTCCGGCTGAGGAAGCTAAAAAAGAAGAAGAAAAAGAAGAAGAGTCCGATGAGGTATGTTTAAATTTCGGTCATTAACCTAATTATCAAATTTGTTGTTAATCATCGTTTGTCCATATCTAACTAAAATATTTATAATTAGGATATGGGATTCGGTCTCTTTGATTAAGATAATTTCGAATATGTCGTTATCTGTTATCGATAGTTCCTATTATTACCATTTATGTAAAAAAAGATAATGCAATGCTTTGTTCTATATGCATTTATACAAAAAATAAAATTTATGGTTGTAAACTTTTGATTGACACTTGGCTAAATTTGGTAGTCCAGTCCAGTCATTAACGTATAATAGAACGCGTTCTTGATTTAAAAGCCATAAGCGCGCGTTAGGTATTACCGGAAGTCGCGTACTATAATTCTAAACTATAATTCATAAAAAAAAAGTACAGAAAATGGTAATACCAGTCATATGATATCCATTTCTATTCTGTATCTGATATATTAATGCTCTCTGTATCGTTCAGGACCGATGATTTTCTTTGTCTTCCGTTCGTGACAAAATCTAAATCCTGCGTTGGTTATGCGATTATTGTATAAAATCCGTGCATTATAAATAACTTATTCTTCGGATTATTTCGGAAATCAAACAAAAATTTTAGCTCAGTTCCGTGATTTCTGCGGCATTGTCATACACTTTTCTTCTTGAGATATGGGAGAAAGATATCATGTATATAAACCGGTTATATCAAGACTAACAACTTGGAATAATTCAAATCATTTAACAAACGATTCTGGCGTTTCAAGCAATTCGTCTGATTTTGCCTATTACTCTGGAAATAATACCAACAAATCATCACAAATGGGGGGTCGGAACGATATAGGACGTCATGTAATGAAATATCAGCTTAAAAATCCTTTAACTGCTCTATCATCTTCACCGGATCAAAATCACGTTATTGTAGCGGGTGGTTCAGGTATTTCCAAGTAAACATACTTTCTTTAATTATTTCTATAATGATTGAATCATATATTATTATGTCTACAGTGTTGAAAATTTTGAATGTATCTGAACGGGAAATTACTGAGGAATCCAATCTCAATATTAGACATGGCAATAGAAATAATAATATTACCGATGTTAAGTGGGGTAATTCTTGTAAGTTGCGATTTTCGCCTAAAGATTTAACAGACGTGGTGAACCCATTTATTTTTTATATCATATCATTTCGCTCTGATGCAGGAATTGAATGATTATATTTGTTACATTTTAGACACAAAGAATAAAGTAGCAACCGCTGCAACAACTGGTTCAATTTCTATGTGGGATGTTGGAAATGGTCAGCCCAGGAATGGTACGTACATTAATTAACATTATAATTCAGGTAATTTTATTTTCGTAATATAAACCTAAAAATGTAATTCGAATTTCAGAAATAAAAATAGGTGCTCATAGTCGTGTTGTGAATAGAGTATGTTTTCATCCAAGGCAAGGTGATTGTCTTTTAAGTGCGTCACATGACGGCACAATTAAATTATGGGTTAGTTTTTATGATTACTATTTTATTAACAGTTGTTTGAATATTTGGTAATGATTATAATTTTATCTATCCTATTTTATAGGATCTGAGGGACTCGAATCCAACGGCAACCATTACATTTGAAGGCAAATGTGAAAGTGTTCGTGATGTGCAATTTAATCCAGGATTTGTAAATGAATTTGCCTCTGCATTTGATAATGGAACAATCCAGGCATAGTTATTATTATTAAAAATTGATTGTACTATCTATAATTTATTTTTAATGAATAATGACAAAATTTTATATATTATACTTATAAAGAAATGGGATCTAAGAAAATCAAATATTTATGAACGCAGACTTAATGCACATGTGGGACCAGTTCTTGCGATTGACTGGCATTCTGATGGGAGAACGATTGCTAGTGGTGGACGAGACAGGAGTATTAAAGTATGGTGATCGTATTAGACAATTTCATAAATCAAACGCTCACCTTCCTTATTCATTGACAGATATGGGATATGGGAGGTACATTTAGTATAAAACCAAAAGAGAAGATTTATAGTATGTCTAGTGTAGCACGTGTCCAATGGCGACCTAATAATCTATCAGAAATTGCTTCCTGTTCGCTACAAGGCGACAATCGAATTTTTGTGTGGAATATCAAAAGGCCTTACATTGCGAGTTTCTTCTTTGAAGAGCATGTGGATGTTCCAACTGGTAACTATACATATTAAATAGTTTAGAAATTATTATGAAATTCTATATAATATATATATTTATATATTTCATACTTTTTTTTTTTTAACTAGGATTTTTATGGCATGAACCTGATGTACTTTGGTCTTGCTCCAAGGATAGATTTTTTATTCAGCAAGACATTAGGGATTCTCACCGTCAGTTAGATTTGTTAAGTAAATGCGCAATTGGTTGGAGCGTCTATGATAATATTGCGTTTGCAATTGAGAAATCCAACGACCCACATTCCGAAGAACAGTAAGCAAATTTTTACAAATTATTTAATAATAAGACGTAATAATAGTGGTAAAAGTAATAATATTAATAATATTTAAATCTATAGAAATAAATCAATTCCATCAAATAGTCAGTTTCGTTTGATAAAACGACCTTCTAACATTATTGAACCTCCTCGTAGTGAAGTTAATATTTACTTGATTTACGTTCATTATTATTATCGTTCGTACTATTTCGTGTTCTGATGTTATTTTATTTATTTCTAAAAGGATCACTATCAGTTACAACAAAAAACAGGCACTATATCACTTCCAACGTTTGACCCCAATTCTTTTTCGCATCTTGCTAGAAATTATATTTCTTCTGGTGCAGACATTTGGGCTATGTGTGACCATAATGCCAAGGTAATAAGTGTAAAATTGATTGGTTGTCTATTATATATATATATATATTTCGAATTCACAATTTTCGTGTAAATACTTTATAGATCGCTTGGGATGTGCAAAGATACCGAACTGCCCAGACATGGAAAATTGTCCAGCTATTATACGGAAAGAAAGCATCATCTGAAATGGACAAGACAGAATCTAACAAAGGTTTATAAGGGTTTAATTACTGTTTATAAGTTCCTCTTTTTTTTTTTTGACATTTGCTCACAGCTTTTAATTATGTCAGATAAAGGAGGATCAGAGGAATCCTCTTTGAAGGATAAAGATTTATTATCATCAGCTACTCATTCCAAATCACCAAGCGAAACAAAAGACACTGATTCTTTGAAGGATCCTGATAATGTAAGTAAGGCAATGTTTATATATTAAAAATCATCAAATTTATTTCTTAACTTTAATTATTTAAAGGATGAAGATCTTTACACGTCGGATCCTGAATCATCATCTGGATCCGAATCTGATGAAAAGCCTTGTCCTAAGTGTAAACGTGCACAAACTCCAGCTTCGATTGCAAACACGATTGTTCTGCCAACATTGAATCGTACTACATGGGACAAAGAACCAATTATGACACAACTACTTGATTATTATGCAGAACAGGTTCGAAGAAATGAAATTATAGAAAGAAAATTGGCAAGAATGATTATGTCTAACAATAATACATTCTCATTAGGGTGATGTACAAATGTGTGTTACTTTGATATTGGTTCTTGGAGATAAACTTAAGATAAGTGAAGAAAGAGCAAAACAATGGTTTTTTTCATATATTGGTAAGACTACTGTTATACTTTACCTTGCATTGGTAATTAATATTCTTGAGCTAATTATTATTTTTATAGATCTTTTGCACCGGTTTCAACTTTGGTGCGCTGCCACTTCTGTGATAAAATATTGTAATAATACGGCTGTTGGAGAGCTAAACCAGGTTTTTCTTTTAATATTTCTGATTAGGGATGTTAACAGTCCGGTTTGGACCAACTTGGTCTATTTTTAGCCCAGTTCCGTTTGGTCTTTTTTGGTTTGATTACGATTTGGTTCCAAGACGACTTATAAGGCTACACCGATCTAAACTTTTGGTTTGAAAAACTGGTCCAAGACCGGTCTTTATAGTTAGAGTTTCTAATTATAAAGACCGGGTTTAAACCAGTCTTTTATTATGAATTCAGATTCAATGATCTAAACTTTCAATCTGGGTTTATAATAAATGATCGGTCTAAGACTGGTTTTTTATTATGATTTCAGGTCAAATGGTCTAAACTTTCGGTCTGGATTAATAATAAATGAATGATCGGTCTAAGCCCAGTCTTTTATTATGAATTCAACTCAATGGTCTAAACTTCCAGTCTGGGTTTATAATAAATGACTGGCTTAAAACCATGGTCTTAAGTCAGCTCCATTCAAATCATGGTCTTAAATCAGCTCCAAAACTATGATCAAACCATGGTCTTAAGTCAGCTCCAAAACCATGATTCAAATCATGGTTTTAAATAATGATCTTAAGTTAGCTTCAAAACCATAATTAAAACCAAGGTCTTAAGCCAGCTCAAAACTATGATTCAAACCCCATGGTCTTAAATCGGCTCCAAAAACCATGGGACCAAACCCACGGTTTTGGAGCTGACTTATGACCATGGCTTGTATCATAGTTTTGGAGCCGGAGCCGATTTAAGACCATGATTTGAATATGGTTTTGAAGCTGACTTAATGACCATGGTTTGAATTATGGGTTTGAGGCCAAATTAAGACCATGGTTTGAATTGTAGTGTAATTAATTAAAAATTTTGGCCTGAATTATAGTTTAATTTTTTTAGATTGAGACTAGATCAAATAGGATCGGTTTTTCTTAGGTTCAGACCGGTCCTATGACGGACCATGGTCTATTGGTCTAAGATCGGACTGTTAACATCCCCATTTCTAATCTTTTTATTCAAATACGGTTTATTAATTGTTACCTATTTTTAAAAGCGATCCACGACGATTTATACGACGTGCAACAATTGTTTTAAGCCTTTAAATGATGCAAAAAATGAATATTGGTTGTGTGCAAAATGCAAAAGGCTAAATCTATGCTCTTTGTGGTTGGTTTGATTTACTTTATTCTGATTTTTATTACTATAAAAAGTTATTTATATTTATTTTTCATATAATAATCAATAGCCATGTTACAGTAAAAGGATTATATACTTGGTGTCAAGGTTGTAGTCATGGAGGTCATCATTCTCATATGCAAGATTGGTTTAGTTGTAATGAAGAATGCCCAACTGGTTGTGGTCATAAATGTTTAACTTTTCTTGTTTAATAATTTATTTGTATATACTATACATTATTGTATATTTTTTTGAAATTTAATATATTTTTAATTTTTAGTGATTGGGTTTATTAGTAATTTGTATTTACAGTATATATAATGTTTTTACTATACAGTATACCGTTTAATAAAAGTACAATTAGCTATTTGTATATGGTAATTTAGTTGTTTAATTTTAGTTTGATTGGGTATTTTTAAAGATATTTCATATCTGATAAAATTAATTTTTTATTATAAATTTATTATTCTTGGGGATTATTTTTTAGACCCCAAATTTATTATTCATACCCTCTGAAGATGAAAATTTTTTTAAACCTTTGAAGTATCTCGTCAAATTCAATAACTTTCTTTATTTGAATTCTATGGATTCATAGGTTCAAATAAATAAAAAGTTCACCGGATTTGACTTGACGGTTAAAAATCAAAATGCCTATCAAAACAAGCCATATCTAAATTTGAACGAAGATATCTCAGCAACCACTAGACCAAATTCGATGAGCTTTTTTTTTTATTTGAATTCTATGGATTCATAGGATAAAAAAGTTCATCGGATTTGACTTGGTGGTTGCTGAGATATCTTCGTTCAACGTCTGTCAAAATAAAAGTTGTGCCAAAATTTTTATAAACCTCGAGCGAAGATACCTCAGTAACAATCTCGATGAGCTTTTTTTTATTTGATTCTATGGATTCGAAGAATTTAAATAAAAAAAAAGTTCATCGGATTTGGTTACTCAAAATTTAAAAAAAATCTTGGCGCAGTTTCTGTTTCCAACTTTGAAGAAATCTCAGCAATCACCGAGCCAAATTAGTAAACTTTTTTTTTATTTGAATCTTGTAAATTATAGAATTCAAATAAAAAAAAAAGTTTAAAGAATTCAAATAAAAAAAGCTCATCGAATTTGACTTGGTGGTTATTGAGATATCTTCACTCGAAGTTTAGAAAAAATTTTGGCGTAGCTTGTTTGATAGATGCTTTGAATCTTTATAAAATTTTGAATGAAGATATCTCAGAAACCACCAGGTCAAATCCGATAAATTTTTTTCTATTTGAATCTTATGAATTCATAGAATTTAAATAAAAAAAAAAAGTTCATCGAATTTTTGTCCAGCAGTTATTGATACCTTCGCTCAAATTTAGAGAAATTTTGGTATAACTTTTGATAGGCGTTTTGAATTTTTTTAAAAAATTTGAGCGAAGATATCTCAGCAACCACTGTCCTAGTCGGGTACAGTTTGTGTTGAAAATTTATTTATCGTATCGTTCTTTTCATCTTTCAATTCTTCCGAATGTGAAATCCCAGTGTCGTCTCCCTTAAACACGAAGCTATAAATCCACCCATTAGAGCAGCTGTAACATTGTCAAGGTGACGTTCTATAATTAAACAATAAACAATCCTTCGTTAAACACAAATTTCCATAAACATTTCCTAACATAACGCCAGCCAAACTGCAGCACTGAAGAGCCTAGACCATGACCCATCGGAATTGGGTTATTAACATTAATGGTCATTGGGAGCAGTGAAGCCAGATATGTTGTTACATGCGAGGACATAAAGTGTAATTAAGTTTTTTTAACGGTAATTTTTAATATAGCATTGTAATTGGTTGAAAAAATAGTTATCAAAGATGCGATTTTGGTTCCTTATGATTATCAAATTAATTATCATACATACTGTATGTACATATATATATAAAATAATCTATTATACTGTAATCAATTATTACTTTGTACTGTATTTGTACTTGTATCATTTCACTTGTTTCATTTGCAATCAGACAAAGAATGGGTGAGGTATTACGTTATCTTACGTAAATATTCAAGTCGTTGTAATCGTTGTTGCTTTTTTTTTCTTCTAACCTTGGCTAAATATTATACTTTATAATGCAAGGAATTACAATCATTTCTTGACAAACTGCTTCTAAGGCATGTTTCACTTGTTAAGTTCTTTTTCTGACTACATGGCTTGTTAAATTTATCTTGCTTATATAATAGGATAGATGGTTTAAAAGCGATCACAATAACCGATCAGGATGGTGTCATATTAATAAAATGTAAGTAATTCCAGATTCTTATATTCCATTTTCTGATTCAATACTTGTCACTAATTTCTTGATCTTCATCGCTTGACTAGCCGTGTTAAATGATGTGCCACCAAGAATGCTTGAGCCTGCAATATCTACAACCTTTGCAGCAGTTAGTGAACAAGTAATATTTTATAAAAATTAATAATTAATTATATTTTTGATAGAATTGGTCTAATCATGTAAAAATTTTTAAAAATAATTGCGATAAAAAACAAGGCATCCAAATTGGGTTTGAAAAAAAATAAATCTATTGTCAGCTTATATGAACTTTATCAAATCGTACAATTTAATCATTCACCTTTAATAACTACATTGATTGCTGATTCCAATGCAAATACTGGTGAGATTGTTTTATTTAATTTTATTCTTTTCTAAACAATGATTCTTTCATGCCGAAAGTTAGTTTTTAACATAAATTTTATAATGAAAAGGTGTATTATTAGATCTTGAAAATGAGTTAAAAGATATAACAGACACAATTGCAGTAGCTCTATCTGAAAGACATGGCATTTCAATTAATGTTTCTGGATAATTATATTGTCAAATTTTAAATGTTTCGAACTTGGTGAAGAATCCAGGCAAAATTTCGAAAATGCCTTAAATTCCGATGGTTCGAGATTAAAATTCGCATGATTTTATAGTAAACCATTTTGTTTTATTTCATTAATTTTTTAATTTATTTTTTGTATCATTTAAGAATTAACCAGAATTGATAAAAGTATTAAAAAAAAAAAAAAAAAAAAGAGATTAGCCATTTCTATATCCATGATAATTTAAATGGGTTTAGATTTTTATAAAACTTAAACCAGTTGTAGCGTAAAAACAATTATAGATCATGATGAAACCTAAGTAGCGAGTTAATAAAACCTGCTACTTAGATTATGTTTAATTCTGATTGACAAATTTTTACACGTACCCGTGTCATACTATTTTTTGGGGTATAATTCTGGGTCGAAAATTTATCGCAGCTGAGACTATATATAGCAAAATTATCAGCTAGACATTTATAGGATGTGACAATTACTAAATTTTCATTAAGTAAAAACAGCTAGTTAATTTGCTATAAATTTTGATTAGCTAGTATCACTTAATACTAGAGTCAAATCGATTCAATAAAAAAAAAATTTATTGAGTTGATCTAATAGTTGCTGAGATATCAAACTTTAATCTACGAAAGGGTATGAATAATAAATTTGGGGTATAAAAAATAATCCCTTTTTTTATTATTCAAAGGTTTAAATTATTTTTTTTTTAATTAAATTTTTAGGAGTCAAACCGTAGATACGTTTAATTGTTAACATGTCATTTGTAACAACTTAGTAGATGTAATAAAAGAGTGTTCACATCTAAGTATACAAAGCACTGTGAATACAACAATTAAATAAATCAACATGACAATTATGTGTTGGTAGCTTTGAAATTTAGTATTGAACTGTTCGAAAATAAACGGGTTAACAAATAATCCATGAATAACAAAAATAATACCATTATCAAACAAACCTCATTTTCCTCGTCAATCCATTCAAGTACAGTATGCATAAACTGACGCTTCAATTCCTCGATAACAATTTCTTGATGTGTTGGATCAATATCAATTCCTATTACTTCTTTCTGGGATTTATGTTTGATATAATTTTTGAACTTTGTTTGCTTATCATTTTCAGAAAAAGTATAACTCTTGGAAAAAATTGATGGTGCTTGCTCTTCTAAATGTGACCGTAACCATTTTGACTAAAATGGCAGATGTAAATATTCAGTTTAACTAATTTTCAAACATAAACATATTGAAAATTATAAATTTGTTCATACTATTTCGTTAAATTGTACGGTTTCGCCTCTGTTATATAGATATTCTTTATATAATTAAGGAATAAAATAACCACTTGGTAGAGTATCAATCAATAAAAAAGTTTTATGTTGTATAAATCAGCAATAGTAAATGTGAAAAAAAAAGGATACTACATATGTATTCTAGCACTTGAACGTCGAATATAAACTTGGTAAAAATGGATTTTTGTAATGTCCCATCGTTTATCGCCAAATCGAGCAAAGACCTCGTCTCATTTAAGCAACCAAATTCGTGTTGTATAAATTGGTGGAATACAACTGCAGCGATTGGTTCTAATTAAGCAACATTAATTATTACTAATTAAGATTTTTAATGACCAAATTTAAAGAAACAAATGATACAAACAATTTACCTTTGCGAGAAAGAGAACATAGAATCATTTGCTTTATCGTATGCAAAGGCCATAATTCATTTAATTTATCAAGAAACGTATAAAAGGACGTTTTCAACGCAATTGCTTCCATGTTATATCTATTAAGTAGTTGATTAATGAGGATTATATGGTCATCTTGTTCGATGAAATGATTTATTTTACCTCAAGGATTTTAAAGGTGACCCCTGTAGGAAGTATATATTAGCCAAACGAAGATAATAGCAATACTTTGGACTATTGTATTTTGCTGATTCAATACACAACTGTATTAACAAATGTGTAAAGTCAAATCGAACTGGTTTTATTTTCTCATCAAGCACGTGTGCAATTTTATTAAACCTAATAATTCGCAATATTGTTAATATAGAAATATATCGCAACAAAATAATAATGAACTTATAAAATGATGAAACTTGCGATTTTTCAGGCCAATGTCTCTGAGCACACTCAGATGACATTAAAAGAATAGTGAGTGGTCCATACAATTGAGAATTTAATTGCTTTCTCACGATTCATATATAATTTTCATTAGTTAAATGTTAATAGGTAAATATAACAGTAAATATAAATATAAATCAATAAAATACCTTTTGACCTAGCTGAGACTGCCGATTACACAAATATCCAGCAATCAAACATCCAATTACTTGATGTGCCCATTTCAAGTTTTTGAGCCTAGTCAAAATTCTAAGAGAAAGTCCCTGCATATTAAAATAATTAGAGTTTAAAGGCGGAATGCTTATGAAGTGTTTGATAATGTTAAGTAATTTACCATAGTTTTGTTATCTAACAGAGTGAGAGCTTTAATCAATTTGCGTATTGAAGCGCGTAAGCTCCTTATATCATTGTAGTCCATGCTGAATATTGCATCAAATTCTTTTTGATATATAGATTCATAATCATTATCAACATTATAGATGCCTGACGAAATTCGTAATATTATTAAGACATTTTAAAAAAATTTTTTTTTTAAAAAAAAATCCCATACCTTGCGCATATTTTGAGTATAACTTCAATATACAAGTACACGGAATCATAAATCGGCAGAAATGGTATTGCGTAGAATAAGCAACTGATAAAATATAACATTATAAACGTCTGATGTAAATTATCAAATGTTAAGAATTTTGCTAAAAGAAATTAAAACTAACGCTTAAACTCGTTCTTGGATTTCAATTTTAGTATGTTCGTAAATAATTTACTCAAAAATTGCCATCGTGAATGATCCATCAAAATTCGTACAACAACCTCCTATAAATTACATTAAGTCGTTATAATATTCAATATATTAAGTTTTGACAGAAAGACGTATTCTTACCAAGTCTTGTAAATCCATCCTTAGAATATCATCCAAAGCATTATTACATAGACTCTCCACATGTTCTAATTTAGAGTTATCTAAAGATTGTTGATGATATGCCGAGTTTATAAATTCCTCAACAGCTTTCCATCTCGAAGTAATAGTATTTTGCGAAATGTTCTAAAAAAATATGAATATATATTCAAGTATAAGTTTAGATCGAAATGAAATGATAAAATGAACCAACTTACTCGATCAATTCGAAAAGATTGATTTAAGGGTTGAAATATCAACGGAATTGTATTAGGAGGTCGAGATGGTCGAAGCTTTAATTAATAAATTAGTTTAAATAACACTGTAATAATTGAAATAATTGAAGTTTTTAAGAAAATCTGGGGTGAACCTGAATATGTTTCAAGCTTTTAGGAATTTGAAAATCATCATGAACAATATTTAATCTAGTTTCTTGACTTTGTCTAGATTTTTTGTTGCCGTTAGTCTTATGTTTGAAACCATTTGTCGATTTACAGCGCAAGTTTAGTAAAACTAATGGCTCGATTATTTTTTCGAGTGGATACTGCACAAACTCCATCCCTATAATTAAATGAAATTGGTAAGTACGCATTCAATTCATTCTAAAAAAAAAAGATATTAATATCAAACACACCTTCAATTTTCCTTATGACATCCCAAACTTTATCATTATCAAGTTTTTCGAAAAATAAAGAAAGAAATTTTCTTTGATTCACATTTAATTTTATTCCAGGAAAGTTTCCATAAATTGTTTTTACTAGTTCAATGATATCCTTTACTACCTGCTCATCAAAATTATTATGAAAATATTGAATACACTGTACGGGCACTTCATTAAGCATATCATCTATAAACCAAAAAATAAATTAATATATATGAAAAAAATTTTTTAAAGAAAAAGAGTTAATTAAAACTAACCAACAGATGCATTGAGTTGTAAAATTAAGGCATTATAAACTGCGATCTTGATTGCTGCGAATTCTTTATGAAACTTAATAGCTTGATCAACGAGAGCGCGCGTTTCTTCCATCGGCATAGTAAATGAGACATTTTTCTCAAGCGATCTCAGCAAGACCTTATACACACCCTCATAATCTAAATCACCTTTAAAATAATTTATTTGCTCAGATGGGGGAAAAGTAGTTATAATACCCGTCCCCTTAATCAAAGCAGATAATCGATCCTGGTCTATTGTACTTCGAGAAAATCAAGAAAGCAATAATTAGAAATAAACCTATCATAATGTATATGACGCCGATTCTCTTACCAAAAAGCTTTATACTCCTTTGTTCGCTCATAAGAATGACCTTCAAGTCTACATTTACATAAATAATAGAAAGCTTTCTCACAATTCCTGGAGAAATAATATTCTCCTAACTCAAAAGCCAGCTGAGAGCGAAATATTTTGTGGATAGAGTCATAAAGTGAATTAGAATCCTGCGATACAGACCCTGAGATAAATGACTTTAATAAAAAAAAAAAGGTATATAAATAACATAATTAAAATAAATAAAGCTACCAAAATAGTAATATATATTTATATACAGCAATATCTTGACTCAATCGTTCATATAAATTTTCCAACACCGTTGCAGATTTTTCATCCGGATCAAATTCAAAACCAAAGTTGACATCATTATACTTTGATCTTATTATCCATCGATTGAATAAAACTATAGGATCATGACGTGGATCTTTATTGTAAGAATGGCTAATTAAATGAGAAATAATTTTAATAAGATAATGAAATGAGGCAAAGTTTGTTGTAAGAAAAACTGAAAAATAACATACTTTCCAAGTGAAATCAAAGCGTGAAAAACTGCGGGTTGTATATTAATAGGTACATTTTGTTCAATATGCTGTAAATACAATCGTGTTTTTTGTATAATCTATTGAACGAAATATATCATAATTACAAAAAATAGTATAATTTTATGATAAAACATTCAAGATCATAAGTGTAGAAAACGAACCCTGCACGCGACTCGTACTGACTGAAATTGGTGAGTGGATAATGAGAAAGTAATGGGATTATTCGAAGATAATGGGACAGGACCAGGAAATTCAGTTTCACTAAGCAAAGATTTAAGCTTCTGACCACCGACTTCCTGTTGTCTATCCAAGGGCACTTTATCGAACTTTAATAAAATTAATTATTATATAACTTATATATTGAAGTAGGTTAACCACCACTTACATAAGTTTCGAGTTTGCTAAAATCCGAACACCATTCAAGTATTTCTTTATTTTCAGGAATTACAGGCCGAATTACAGACATTGTAAAAAAATAAATTTTTATTTTACTACATTAACACAAAAATTTTATACGTATAATTCACACGATAATCATTTCCTTTTTTTCTATGATACAGAAATCGCACATTATATCATAGGTAGATTCACGCGTCCAGGGTGATTTTCTGTGATGGTAAGACTGAATTCTGTATGTGGTTAAGTGATAAATTTTTTAACCAATTTCTGTGCGATTCCGTGCTATTTTATAACTTCCGAGCAGTGTTATTTCTGGTTTGATGCGCTTATCTAATTTTTTTTTTTTCATACGGGCGAAAATTTTTTGTGATTATTAAAATTCCGCCCATATGTAGGTTGTTTTTTGGTATAAGTAACTGATTGTAACTCAAGCAATTTATAAGCAATTTTTACAATCACTGGCAAATAATCACTTTTAATCTTATATATATATTAATCATATATATTATTGGATAAATTCTATGTAATCTCATCATTCAACTTATCTAATCACAAAAATGAAGATTTCCGCCCATATGTTTTCGACAAACATGTTCGTAATTCATGTTGATTTATTATCTACCTTTCCAGAATTTTCAGCGCCGACGCGAATTTGTGGGCAAGTGTCGCAATATTTTAGAATTCTGTGATATTCTGCTGAGACCTTTTTAGAATTCTGTGGTATTCTGCGGTGACTAAGGGTGATTTCTGTAGTTTGCTGTGTTTAAAAGAAATTCTGTGGTTTTCTGTGAATCACAGAAAATCATCGTCCCTGCACGCGTCCAGAACTCATATTTTGCAAGAGTTAATCGTTATCTCATATGATAATACAAAAATTCACATAAAGGCAAATGGATAAAAACCTTTTCTCGCTCGTAGATTATTGTTTCCCAGTAGATCTGTAAACCCTTATTTTCAGGTTGTTTTTTTACCTGCAGGAATATGAAGCTGAAAATGAGTGCATAACTTCCAGATAATAAATAAAAACTTTATCTCAAAGAGAAAAAGTAAATCGCAACAGTAGGGCCGGAATAAAAGCCGATACCTCCTAGCCCAGATGAAAATAGGCGGAGTTGCCACTACCATCACTCGGGCTGGGACAAAAACCAATACTTCTAATCCAGATAAAAATAAACAGAAGCTCCCTATTACTGCTATTATTGCGAAATATACACCTTTTCTTCTATAGTTGCATAGTCATATTCTTTTAATTCTTTTGCTTTCGTCAAAAATCTATGCGACCATGTGAGGTCAAGAACACTCCATTCATTTGAAAAAGGTTGTGAGACGTATAACTAAAACGTATTTTTATAACTAATCAATCGTGTAACACAATGTGTAGAAGGACGACATTACGGTGAAGAATTAAAAATTCGGTGTAGCAACGCTGCGTGTTATCTTTTATATAAGAGACAACAGCTTGAATACTGTTAAATAGCATGTTAGAAAAGGAAAAAGGAGTACTTTTTCTTTTAAATAGCTGTACAAAACATTTACCGTAATAACCAGAGTACGGCTCAATATCTTCGCTCATGATTCAATCAACTATTTCAGTTTTTTTTTATAAGGTCAATTCAGCTATATAGAAATTATATACTAAAAGAAACGTCCACTTTTTACAGTATACAGTATATAAATATAAAATGTTTATAACTTACGAACAAATAACTTTAAAAAAATCTGTCTTACAGGTTTGTTGCTTTTAATCTAAGCTACAATTCTGTTGTATTTTTCGGAAATGCACGGGTCTGATCATGAGGTAGTTGACCAATCATAAAATAGTTTTTATCCACGTGATAC